CATATAACCCGCGGGTTATATGGGTGAAAATACGGTATTCCCCCTTTAATAAGGAACCACAGTAGCTAGACGGCACAGAATGGGGCAGTGTCACCAATAAAGGACTAAATGGGCCAACAGTCAAAATGCATTTTCTCAATCTTAGCAACTGTTAAGATGTGTGAACTTCAATTCTAATAGCATTCCCTAGCTACCCTGCAGGCAGAGAATTTTGGAAATTAAGATCCACACATCTTTAAATTGCCAAAGTTTGGAAAATATTAGTCTAAATTATGTAAAAATCAAACGTATTTTGTTTCCTAAATAATAAATGGAAGAATTTGGTATTGTGTTAAAAAGCCTGGAGGACTATAATATGTATATCATTTTTTCTATATGGTACACTTACTTTGAGACTGGGATGAACTTCTCCCCCTTGTCCAATTACTCCTATGCTTGGAGGCTTGCCGCCAAACAGCCTGCTCATAACTATATTCCACATCACTTTTACGTTTCTTTTCTTAAATTCCCTGCAGAAAAATAATTGCATTTATTTAAACGGTGTGCCTGTGTAATATCATGCATAATTGTCCTTTGCTTTTTCTTCACCTTAGTATCATTTTATTCAATATTTGTTTCCCCCTGCTTTTCATTCCTCCAAACTGCTGCAGCCTTAGTTCACCCAGCGGGAGCGGGGAGATGGAGGGCAGGGAGGAACCCTTGTCAGCTCAGGAGCATCAATGTGACAAGGACTCTGCTCTTGTAAGGGTGGGGGGAAGATAAAGACTCCTGCTATTCAGTGGTATTCAGTGGCAAGAAATAAAAATGCATCTTAATCCTCTACAAAACCTAAGGCAGCCCAAATGCAATGAATTAAAAGAAGTCAAATTGCCTTGGCTGCTTTCAAGTACCAGTGGTCTGTGAGCTGTGCTTTGTATACGCCTGGATTTACTTTAACCGTACCAACTACCTACCAAATTGATTTGGCTGTCCATCTTACACACAGTACATTATTCTGGGTGGTTTACAATTATTAAGAAGAAAACATAACAAAAACTCTGGGGAAAAAAACCCCAGAAATGAAGTAACAATACAATAATTGAAATCATCTACAATAATTCACAACATAAACCACAGCTATTTTGGCCTCCTCTTACATTGTGGTCTGGATTAGAAAGATCACAGCCTTCATTTCTTAATCCTTGCAATATTTGCAAACATGATACAGGTAGTCCTTGTCTTATAACCATTTGCTTAGTGACTGTTCAAAGTTACAACGGCTCTGGAAAAAAAGTGATTTATGACCATTTTTCACAGTTACAACTGTTGCACTTGCTGTGGTCATGAACTCAAAATTCATACTCTTGGCAACTATATTTATGTATTTTGGGATCACATTTTGGGATCTGCTGGCAAGCAAAGTCAATGGGGAAGCCAGATTCACTTAACAACGGTGGCAGAAAAGGTTATAAAATGGGGCCAAACTCGTTTAACAACTGTCTTGCTTAACAATGAAAAAGTTGGGCTCAATTGTTATAATTCAAGGACTACCTGCGTAGGTAAAAATTCTGACATATAAGTTACTGTGATATCATCAGAAACTGAATTCTCATCTGCAGAATCATTATCATATAAGCTACCTTGAGTTTCCTTGATTACACACTCTTTCTACTGAACTGATGCCAATTCACAGCATCAGTAGTTAAATGACCAATATTACAAACACCTTTTGTAGTTTTGATCAAGTCACAATTGGTTTCGCTTTAAAAGGAGAATATTTACAGCACAGGATTGAGATGAGGGGTCCTTGGTGCTCTCCGAGTTTGGCTGTGGCAGACTTTCATTATCCAAACTAGGTAACACCATCTGAGCTAGTAAGACTTACTTCAAAACTATCCTTCCAGAATAATACAAATGGAGCATTATTAAAATCATCCATTAATGCAAGAAAAAAAGCCCAAAGCATCCTTTTTCCTTTAGTGCTGTTCCTACTGACCAATTTTTAATCCAGTATTAATTCATTTAATAGTATTTCAAAAAATTACATACTTTATTTTTTCAGTTAAGATTTTGCCTGCATATTGTATGCCAGTCAAAGCAATATACATCCTCAAAACTTCATTTGTTCCCTGAAACAGAAACAAATATTTGAGCAATTTAAATCTGTATTAAAGTTAGTGCACTTCAATTTGTATGAAAGTGTTATTTCTGTCAACAGCTTGCAAAGTTACATTTAAATATTGTACAAAGATTGAAAGTGCCTTACTGTTATAAGACAGTGGAACAGTTCTTATGATGTGTTTTTTCTGAAGGCGTTCATATTTACCTCAAAAATCATAAGTATCCTACAATCCCGGAGATAGCGTTCATATGGATAGTCTTTTATGTAGCCAAGGCCTCCAAGAATTTGTAGTGCTTCACTTACACAAACCCAAGCACCTTCTGAACTGAACACCTGCCCATGATTGTAAGAAAAAAAACCCTATTATTCTTATATTAGTGTTTTAAAACTTAGAAATATAAAAAGCACTTAAGTTTAAGTTATTATTAAATTTTGTCATGCTAGTGGGATAATGTCAAACCATATTTGGAATTATGAAAAACAGCATGTTTTTTTTTTAAAAAAAATGGGGATAGATTTATTAATAACTGCTGAACTCTACAGAATATAAAGATGTGAGCTATTAATTTATAAGAACAATTTTGTCTCTCGCAAGTGTTATTCATAATAAAAATGCTTACTTACGAACCAAGCAAACAGGATATGCTACTGAGTTATATGTGCCTATGGAATATATTGATTTTGTTTGTTTGCTTTTATTTTGCTTTCACCTGCTGAGTCGTGGTGGCACAGTAGTTAGATTGCAGTATTGCATGTTATCTTTGCCCACTGCCATGTGTTTGATCAGAATTGACTCGGCCTTCCATCGTTCCAAGATCAGTAAAATGACGACCCAGACTATTGGGAATAATATGCTGAATCTGTAAATCACTTAAGTACTATGAAGTGGTATATGAGNATGCGCCCGTTAAGTGCAATATCACGTGACCATAGCGATAGCAATCCGGACAGTCTCTATTGCAATTGTTGTGTGGACTGTTAAATGCTAAACCTCATTTGATCATAACTTGTGAGTTCCTATTGGTTTCCTACAAACAAAGTCAATGGGAAACCAGGAGAAAGTGACAAGTCCCAGAAGGCTTGCAAGCAATCTGATGGACAGGTAAGCAGCTACGTAGTGCTGTGTGAATATGGCTGGGCTGGAGTTTGCCCAGCTGCTGTTGCCCGGTGGAACACGACCATGGGTAGGGGTGGCTGCTGCACGATGCAGAGGTTTACACACAAATGGGGGGGGAGAGGGGGGGGATATGCATGGACACTTGCACAACACTTGCATGCATGTGCACACACACACACACAAAAATGAATATGTGCGTGCATGGATACCTACACACACGCACACCAACACACACACACAGACAGAGCGTGTATGTATTCATACCAAAAAAATCCATGAAAGAAAACATTGGGAATCCATATTTTTAGTACTGTACAGCAATCAGCTTAAAAACATGGCCTCACATCTGATCACAGATTGTACTTTCTAATGCTGAGGAGGGAAGGAGAGAGGGAGGGCGGAAGGGATGGATGGATGATAGATAGATGATAGTTTAATCATCAAGTGAAAGCAGGCTTATGTAATTTATTACTTTATTGTATTTTATAAAATTGCACTGTAAAATATGAAACGGTATAATCATGCATTTTGTCTCAGATCTAAGAATATACCCGAGGATCCAGTTGGAATACATTCAGTTAGTATGTTCTCTGGCTCTAGTAATATTTTTCAGCTTTCAGAAAGTCCTATTTAGGGGGTGCGAACAAATATAAGTTCTTTTTTCCAGCACCTGATTTGCCACTTTTTTAATGCTGTCATCCAGGTTTTCAGGAGAATCTAGAGATAATGGAAACAGAAACAATTGATCCTTTAAAGACACATCTAAATGAGAAACCAGACAAACTGCTGACCAGCTAGCAACAAGTGCATACAGGTAATCCTCAACTTACGACCACAATTGAGCCCAAATTTTATGTTTTTAAAGTGAACAATTTGTTAAGCGAGTCTTGTCTCATTTTATGACTTTTCTTGCCACATTTAAGTGAATTGTTGCAGTTGTTAAATTAGTAACCCGGTTGTTAAGTGAATCTGGTTTCCCCATTGATTTGCACGTCAGAAGCTTGCAGAAGGGGATCACATGACCCTGGAACACTGCAACTGTCATAAATCTGAGTCGGTTTTCAAGCATTCAAATGTAAATCATGTGGCCATGGGGATGTTGCAATGGTCATAAGTGTGAAAAAAGGCCAGGAGTTTTCGGTGCCATTGTAACTTTGAATGGTCACTAAATCAACTGTTGTAAGTCGAGGACTACCTGTATTCTTCATTAAGGGAAAGAATGAAAAACCTGCTTTGCCCACCCTTCCTTAAGATACGTTAAAGGCAGGCTTTAGAAAGGGTGGCAGGTTTAGCAGGTTTGTTTTAGCAAGTATTTACTATTTTGTTGACACCTCAGAGGGGTGGCAATTATTTTATAGATTTATTTGATAAATTTAGATGAGTTACATACGTGACTCCGGGAAGCTTACAAGTTAAAAATACACAAACTCAAAAGCCAAAAAGCTTTAAAAAACATTGAAACAATAAGAACCCGTTACAAAACATGATCTGTATCATAAACGCAAAGATTTGTCGCAGAGTTACTTTCCTATCAACTGTTGTAAGTGCGAGCAGTTGCCATATAAGGTAGTTGCTAAACGAAAAATACCTGTATAAGCTTTTAGCAGGCTCCACACGACTACTGACTCCCCAGGTGAGATGATAAGGCCATACTTATGGCCCCTTCTGGAAGGCTAAGGATAGAGCCAATCTGACTTCAGGGGAGNCTCCCACAAAGGAGGCCACACCCACAGAGTAGGTTCGAAAATTTTTTGAAACCCACCACTGTGCAGCACAGAGCTTTATTACTTATTTTACAGGATTTGTACCTGTGTTTTAAAAGTCTCATTCCACAGAAGAAATGAGTGATTCATTAGTTGATATAGTCCAATTTCCTATCTTACAGGGTGCATGAAACGGAACATGGAAGATTGCAGATATTCTATAATTCACACTTGTGTTTTCACAAGCGGCTGTATATCAATCTTGAATCCATCCTGCTTCACGTCCGTCTCTGCAAGCCACTGTCAAGCCTCATGAAGCAGGCTTTGTTATACATCAGGGATATGGTTCCTCAGCCGTGCTTTGAAGCTCTTTCCAGGTTAACAGCTTTGTTAGATTTTGGCATACGAGTTATGGGGATTTAGAAGTTGAATATGGTAAAGGTTTATTTTGGGGTGGGATAGGAATCTGGCAGGGCTCGGATTTTATGGCCTCCATGGCAGCCATCCCAAATAGTCTGTGCCTGACTCAGGTGAATGTACAGTGGGTCTTGTTTTGTCTCTGAATGATCATTCAGTGGCTTTCAACGCGTGATCTGATCATTTCCCGGTCCAGATGAGATTTGTTGCTACCTGGAACCTTCTGTAGGAGAGCTGATTAGGACACAAAGTGCTACACCTGAAAAGAGTGGAGCAAGAGTTCTGCAAATGATTTGACATGTTGAAAAGTAAATAGTGGACAATATTTATATTTAATAAATAGAAGTGGTGCGATGGCCTAGAATTGGAGCTCTCGCCTCACAATCAGGAGGATGTGAGTTCAATCCTAGGTAGAGGCAGATATTTCTTTCTCTGGGCACAATGAGAATATATCTGCTGAACAAAGCTCCGCATTGGTGACAAGAAGGGCACCTGGCCGTTAAATGCTCCATTCAATTGCCCAGACTCCACCCTGCAAAAGATTACGGGGTCGTTAAATGATGATGATAATTTTTATTTAATAAATGTTTAATATCAACTTTCCATAACTCACTGGCAAAGTTCTAAGTTTACCTGCAAAGACATCAGATTGAGGAGGGATAGTAGTTAATAGACATAATAGTTAATCTATTATTGGTTTGTATTGTATTTGGTTTTGTATTGGTTTCATAACCATTGTCAGCTTGACTGGCTTCGCTGTTTTGATTTGTTTGTTCAAAGTAAATTGTTGCTATGTGATTTATTTATTAAAAGGGATGCAATCTGAGTTTCAACAGTAGAGTTAAGGCAAAAAAATTAAAACAAACAGTAGTAAAATTAAAATTAAATTAATAGGTCCCTTATTTAAATTACAACACTGATCTTCAGTTGTTCGTTTTCTTTCCCCGTGCTGTAGACTTGATTACATCTGCCACAGTAAGAAGTTAAGGGATGTGGTCCATTACAGTCTCTTGCCTTCAGCAGAAATGATTACAATCTTGAGTCAGGAGTTTGGGGTTCCCTTGACTAAAGCTGACATGTATCTAAAGGACCCCACAGAGATCTTGGAAACATTTGACAAAGTGCAAAAGCCTTCAGGCATGAGACACTACGGGTATTCTCATTTCGATATCTACAATAAGAAGTATATACTAAGAAAAAGGGAACAAGAAAGTCAGGCACCACAGAACTATATCCAGGTGAGTGAAGCAAAAACAGTGAAAATTGCGTTGCAGAAAGATTTGGCAACCTGTACAGATTTTATTAAGTCGAATTTTTAGCGAGGCTGGGTGGGGCTGATCACCAGATGCCAGCTTCTGTTGCGCGGATTCCCCCCTCCTTTTTTTAAAATGCCGTATAGCTGCACATACAAGTAGTTCTCAACTTACAACCATCATTTAATGACTTTTTGAAATTAGAGTGATGCTGAAAAAAAGGGAATTACATTCAGTCTTTGCAGTGTGGCTGTGGTCATGAGATTAAATTTGGGATGCTTGGCAACGAGCATATATTTATGATGATTACAGCATCCTGGTTTTTGACGTTCCCAGGGAATGTGCGACAAGGTAAATCAGTGGGGAAGCCAGATCCCTTTGACTTCCTCAGAAAAAAGATCGTAAAATTGGGAATTGCTCCCTCACGAATTGCATCTCTTAATGACAGAAGTTCCAGTCCCAATTGTGACTGAAAGTTGAGTGCTACTACTTGTAGCACTGCTTCCTTAGCAAGCAGATTAGAGCCCATTTTGACAGAACATAGTTTGTTTAAGATTGTGTAATGAACATAAGAAAAACTATACTGTATAGTTTTGGCAAAGAGTGCTTTGCTTATGGGTTGAATAATTTTACTGAAGTAAATCTGTATAAGCCCTTTGGGTAAATGGGCTAGTGCTTATCTGTTTAAAATTTGCTTTCGTTTGGAATTGGAACAAATGAAAATAAACAAATTAGTTGGAAAAAAATAGAAACTAATCTATCCATTACAGGGAAATTTGTTGAAGTACAATCTGTATACAATGTTTATGGATTCTGGAATAAGGTTGTGAATGTATTCAAAGT